CCACACACCACACACACACACACACCACACACACCACACACACCACACACACCACACGCACCACACACACCACACACACACACACACACTTCTGGGGCTATTTCGCACCCAGTCCCACCTCTCGGCCAACTCCGCAATAAAGGAAGCTCAGGACAGATCCGGCCTGAGACGCCAACAAAATCAGAGAGGAAATGGCCGAATGTGTCCCTTTGCCTTTGGCCCATGCCCCATGTGTTTCTCTACCACTAAACTGTCCCAACCCCAAACACTGACTGTCCAGGAACTCGCGGCCGCAAGATAAGCGCGGCACGGAAGGAAAACAAATCTGCAGGTCTGGGCAAACTACTTTTGCTTCCCAAACCTGACGTAAGCCATCCCACAGTAAAGTACCTTGGCTTTGGGTCAAAAATAGGTACCCAAAATGGCACCCTGGTAAATAGCAAATGGAAACGATGACTAAAACCTGTGGTCTCTTGGTGGCTTATTTTTGACGCATACCCCCCTCATGCCAAGAACTTTTTGCGTATGAGCAGGGTCATGACAGGAAACTTCGACTTCGACTTCGGATGTGGGAGGTAACCACCTTTTTCGGGAGCGGCGTGTTGGGTACCGGAAGCCATCTTACCCAAGAGCTGTGATTCCCTCCAATTGGTGGATTGGATTGGTGGTTTGGGGGTTTTTGTAGAGGGCAAATGGGAAACTTCTCCAAAACACCACCAAACCACCGGGGCTCCAAACCACAAATTGGAGGGAAGCTGAATAACTGCCTAGGCAAACTGGGGCGTTTGGTGTTTGGATTGCAAAACCAAACGAAACAACTGGGTACTTAAAAGGGGGCGGGGGGGGGTGGGGGGGGGGAAGCCTCAAACTGGGTGTTCTTTCGAGGCTATTCTTTCGCCAGAACTTCCGAGCAAAGAATAGAGCCTGATGCAATGTGGGCAAACTACAACTATTTCCAAGGTGGCAAAAAGGGAATCCCGCGGCAAAGGACCGCCCTCGTTGAGCACCCTCCAAGGCCTGCCTTTTCCCATCTCCAACCCTTTGCGATGCTATTTGGAAAGTAGTTTGGGATTCTGAACATGGCAAAATGCAGACGGGGGGGGGGGGGTTCTGGCAGGCCAATGGCACTAAGCTAGCTGCAAATCGGGATGAAGCTCAAAGCAAGTGCAGCCACCAGCGACGGTACGCCTCAATTGGTCACGCGTTCGCTCGAAATCTCCAGTCTAGGGATGGGCTCAGGAAATACAAGAGGAACGCAAATTGTCCCATGTCCTCCTGAAAACACACAATTTTTACCCTAGTCTAAGTCTATGTGTCCTCTTTGCCCCTGCCAAGAACCGGCCTCAGCTTTTGCCTCCTCAAATGAGCCCGAGGAATATGTTTTTTAGGTTGGACCCCCCAAAACGGTGGTTTTTGCTTTTGGTTTCCCTTTCCTCCAACCCCAAATTGGGCACCACCAACAAAAAGACACCCCCATTCTTAGATTCCCCCCGTCCGGCAGGTGTGCGGCACAAGGTGGCTGATTTGGCACTGCTAGAAAGATGTCCCTTTGGCGACCTGTTGGGCCCCCCGCAGAATTTGGTTCACTGGGCAGCTTCAGCCACCAAAACTGGGTTGCTCTCCCCAGAAGGTCTAACACCCAGTTTTGGTGGCTTAAGCTGGGGTTTAACGAACAAGTCCGGTTTCCAACAGGTTGAAGGGGCCTGGTACCAAGGCCAGGCATTCAAGCGGGACATCTGAGTCCCGCTGCCAGTGCGCAGCACCACAACAAAGCCCACCAGGAAGGTCACCATACTGAGCTGTGAGACCTGGCGAAAGGAACCGGCAACCAGGACCATGGTCATCATATGTGTGTCTGAAAATAGGGAGACCCCAAAAGAAGGCAAGGGTTTCCCTTGAACATCACTCCTAGTGGGGTATCCTCAAAAAACACGAGCTGGGACCCCACATGGATTGCGGCTTTCCTTGTGTCTTCCCCGAAAATTCCACGCTGAAAACCCTCAACAAAACACTGAGTTTTAAGAGGGCGGGCCTCGGTCGACATCATTTCGGTGGGGATTCATGTCCATCAACCACTTGTGAGGTGGCTCCCTGAAAAAAAACATCGCCATGGCCACCGCCAAAATTGCTTGCTCGTTCAAACGGACATTCTGAAAATTCGGAAGTCCCCCATGTTTTTGTGGACACCATAGACTTCCAGTCATTTTGACCGAACCTCGGGGTACCCTCAGCTTGGTCTTGGGACTCCAAAGGAGAACCGACATGTGTCCGGTCCCCGAACGGATGCATCTGTTTTGATCTTGAGCACCTCATAGGGCCGCAGCGGCAGGTACCGGCACAGCGGCTCCTCGCGGTGGGCTTCCAGCGTGCGGGAAGCCCCCAACGACACCTGCGGGGTTTCCGATGGCACCCCGATGGCCCGATGGGGTTGGAAACACAACAGCGTGCTGGAAGCATCGGTGCATCGCTTTTTGACTCAAAGCTCCCAGTGAGACGCGTCATTTTGGGTGCGAAAATCACTCCTCTCAGAGGCTGATTTTGATTGGGGTGGGGTGGCGCTATTGTAGCAATATATGTTGCACGAAGATGTACACAACTTTCCACGTTTGAACAGTTGCTTCATTCGGGTAAGGTCGGAAAAGGACTTCACAAAAGGACCCGAAATGCATGCCTACGCAGGGTGAACACTGGCGCAACAGTGAGCTGTCAAGACCTAGAGCTCCTGCCGATTCCGTTCGGCTGCACTGAAGTTGACCCAATCTTGGGGACCCGGGAAGCTTGGCATTGAGCATCAGCTCTCGGCGCCCGGTGACTCCCAAACCCGAGGGACAATGGTATACAACCAACATATGGGCATGCATTTTAGCCGGGGACCCTTTGCTGGAGTTCATTGAAGTGGGGATTCATGTCCACCAACAACTTTTGAGGTGGTTCCCTTATTAAAAGTCATGGCGACTCTCGCCATTCTGGGTTTCAGGTTATGAGGTCCCTGCCACACGGGTAGACCGGTAGCTGAAAAGGGGAAGCCAAAGGCACCAGGGCAGTTTTCTCATTCCTTGGATCCTCCTCAAGCGCCCCAACCGATTCTTTCCATTTCTTTCTGGAACCTCAATATGTTTACTTATTTACAGTATTCCTTTCTTTATTTTTACTTTTTTTTGGGGGGAGGGCTTGGTGGAATGTGGAAACAACGGTTGTGCCAACCTCTTTCAACATGCTTCAACCACATATTCTTGCGAAAACAAAACCCTCCTGAAACAATCTCTAAAATGTCTCTTACCCCTTTTAAGGGGCGCCCGGCTGCCTAGTGGTTTTTAAGAGGTTCAGAAGTGCATCTCTCTCCCCTTTACTTGGGTTTGTCTGGAAACATAGGGGAATCCGGTAAAACGGACTTGGTCTCCCTCTTCCTTTAAACCCAAAGCCGGCTGCTCGCGCCGCTCGCACCACGTTCCCTCCAACTCGGATTCGCCTCGTTGCGGCCAATCGCCACCGGCACCGGATCTCCGGGCTCCACCTCCAGCTGCCAGACCCACCAGGGCACTTGGCACCTTGCTGACTCATTGGCACGCAGAAATCCGAGAAAACAAAAAAAACAACTGCCCATGTTTTACCCAAAACCCATGGCCGAATTCCCCCAACCAATAATTACCCCGAAAAAGAACTGCCCACGTTGTTCTTCTTCCGAAAACCCAAGCCCTTCCTGGCCTACCTCAACCGATACCCCTAGAAATATTGTCCCAGCTGGCTCGGCCTCAAACCTTGCTTTCTGCATGCCTGAGAGCTGCCAGGCTACCCTTGAGGCGGTGTTTCACTGTGACAGGTCCTGAGTTGGACGCTTGTCAGGCAGCTACAGAAGTTCACCAAGAGGAACGCGGAAAAGGGACCACGGCGTGGAGACGCTGGGGTGTAAAATAGCCTGGCATTTTAACGGCTTGGTTGTTTCTGAATCAGTCCGGTATAGTGTTGACTCCTAAAGTCTGCAAAGCGTTGTCCTTTCACAGAAGCAGCTCGCCAGTTTTACACCCAGAAGTCACTTGCCGGTCAATGCCCATGTCTCCCAGCGCCCAAAAGGATCATGACCACCGGAGAATACGACTACTCTCGTGGAAAATCCCACGCAAAAACACTTGCGCGACGCGAGCCTTTGACCCTGTTTGCACTTATAGGCAACCAGTTTCCAGAGCATGATGGCGTTGACCTCTTTTGGTTGCTCAAATGGGCTTGTGAACCACGTTTTGGATGCTTCTTACAGCTCAGCTGGTGCTCGAATATGTGGAAAGCAAGCTACTGGGTAGCACTTCTTGAACTCATGATAGGCACGACAGAAAGCGTTTGAAGTCTCAAGATGGTTGTGCCCACCCCCAAATCACAACGCATATGGGGTGTATTTCCCCTATCCTTACAAAGGGCACATAGTATACATCCTGGCGAAACCTCTGAGCAGCTCACTTCTGGAGGTCCTGCACATCCAGTTGCCATCGGGATGAGCCGGCATCCTTGACGACCGTCATGAAGCTCGGCAACCAATGCCGGTGGAGAAATCGGAAGTCTGGACACTGCAAAACTAGACATCCTTTTCGCATAGAGAATCATCGTGGGCTGTGTTGCACCCAACGCAACTCATGCAACTCATGCAACTGAAACTCTCAAATGCCCGTCCGGTCAGTGGGTTGTTGCTTCACCTCTCAACAGCTGCGAATGACATGTGGCGCGGCTTTGAGCTTTGGGCATGAATGGATCGCCCTTCCTTCCCAAGGTGTCAAAATGACCATGTCACATGGGCCTATGGTCAGGGCTCATGGCCTATGGGGCTCATGAGGGCTGAACATGCCTGGCAGGCTGCATCGCTTTGAGCAACCCATCGGGCGAAAACAACAATTGCCGCGCGCTCGTGGCTGGCAGAATCTCACGTTACACAGGATGGAAACCCAGGTTGAAATTAATCTGAAATCCCTGATTGATTAATTCCGGGGGGGGGTCTTTTCACTTTTGGAGGAAGCGCATCTGATTCATCCGCAAGGCTTGCGTTGACATTAGGCGAGGCAGCAGGCAGCAAGCTTTTCACTCATTGCTCTGGCCACAGGCCACGAAGGTCAAACCTTGCATGGCCATGTGCAACGCCTCCATGCCAGCTGGTTGTGGCGGTCTTGGAAAAAAAGAGTAAAAATAGGACAAGCCGAACCTGTCAGACAAGCTGTGTGTTCATTGACTAACTTGAGGTGCAACAAGCCACCAGCACCACTAGGAGCTGGCAGACGTGCGTGAACATGCGTGAAGATGCGACGGCCGGAGCCAAACCTTTCCGGCTCGGCTGCACGGCTGGTTGACTCCAACCAACACTACCGCGCACTTTGGCCACTTCCCAGTGGTCCATCCAAGTATTCCATCCCAGGGTGCGAAATGAAGCTCTGATTTGACCGCCATAGGCACTTGAGGCCAACGGATCTTTGGCAGCAAGCCTTTTTGCTCATTGCAAAAAGGATCTAACCTGAAACAACTGAATTGATCTCTAACTTGAGGCTCGGCTTACCTCTCACCTGTAACTTGAGGATTGGATTACAACCTCTGGCATTGACGCCAGGGCTTGCCCTCTGCATATCCCCAACTCAAGGGGCAGGCCCCAAGGTGAAACCGTGGCCTTTCCGCGCCCTAGGCTTGCACTGAGCACCATGGCGGTTTGGATTGTGCCAAGGTTCCCCAAATGTTCCCTTTCGCATCACCCCACCTGAAGGAAACTCACTTTAAATGGGCCCAACAAAACAGATGCGCGGCTCTATGCTTCTTTTAGAAAAACATGATCAAATTGGCAAACTGGCCCAAGAATGTTGTGTGTTCTCCATATTTCCTCGCCCAAATGCGGAAACCGCCAGGCAACGAGCTCGCGCAGCGGCCCAAGAAAGGCATCAGGCGGCGCTAGTCAAACAGCATTCCAGCCTCCCAGGAAAATCCGTTGCATGACCATGGAAGAAGGGAATTTGAATCCTTTTTTAAGGATTGACAGCATTTTTTTGCCTGAAGGGAAACAGGGTGCCGCTGAACATTGGAATCCTTGAAGCATCCTCTCCCCCTCGCCGGACAAACAAAACAAGAAGAAAATCCCTGAATGGCTGGCGCGAAAGCCCTTCTCTGAGCCCAAGCATCTGAAACCTGGAACTTGCTGATTTTGTTTCCCTCTGCTTGGTGCAAACAAACACGCCTCTTGGTGCAACAAACACGCCTCTGCTATGAGACTGCCTCTAAACATAGCCTCAACATCATCCCTCAAGCACCCGCCAAATGCTTCCAGCCTCAGCTTGGCACCAATGTCCGGCCCTTGGCAGGCTGAAATTGCGCGAACTGCCGTCACCAAATGCGTGCGTGCGTGCGTGCCTGCATGCCTGCGTGCCTGCGTGCCTGCGCCCCTGCGTGTGTGTGTGTGTGTGTGTGTGTGTGTGTGGGTGGGTGGGTGGGTGCGTGCGTGCGTGTGTGTGTGTGTGTCTCTGGTTTCCCTTTCAACCAACTACGCAAAGGGTACCCTCCAAAAAACCCATGCCCAAACTGTGAGCACACCTGCAACGGTCTTTTGCAAATCGCCCCCTAGTCTCAGAGTGTCAGGTCACGGGTCCCGGGTCCCTTTTCAGTGGGGATTCCTAGGTCACGCTAACAAAACTTTGGGGTTTCATGACTCATTTCTCAAACATTGGGCCACCAGGCGATTAACCCGGGACCCCTTCCCCTATGCATTTCCTAGAATGTGGGCACCAGGGAAAGAATGCCAGGGGGGGGCCACGCGTTTTTTCTCTGTTTGGCGTGGGGACGGGAACGCCGCTTAAAATGGCTTGATCCTTTGAGCAAGCAATATACTGTGTGTGGGCAAACTCCTGCACTTGGGATGGATGAACTCCCATGACTGGGATAAACCGCCTACCAACTGGCGCAGCATTTCGTCCATGCACAGTACTGTCAACCCTGGATTAATCAACCCCTGGATGATTAATAGGGGGGTGTCCCCTTTTCGTGGGGATTCATCACTTTTGGAGGGAACACCCCCCTAATAATGGGACGGGTTTATAAATCCTGGGACAACATTGGGACCTCCAAAAACCTGAGCTTTCTGCCATTCACAGCCAACTTCGTCTTCGCATGCCTCCATCCGATGCGCCTGACCGTCCAGGACTCCCCAGAAAGACTGATGTGCAGTCCTCGAAAACGGATCCAAAAAAACCACAGCACCCCCCGAACCTCAGGTTTCATATGGGAGGGTATCATTTGTTGAAGACCCTGTGGTGCACATCCTTTTGCATAGGGATTTCTGTATCCATTTCCCTTGGCTTCCGCGCTCCGCGTTCAAATCTCAGGGAAAAGATCAACAGGTCTCTTGCGGCTTCCCAGATCCACATGGGACGCCATTTCTATCTGAGCCACATCTCTCATATATGGGTGTGTCTTTTTAAAGGTTGGACCCATGAAATAGGTGGCTTTCTTTTTGGCCTCCCTTTCAACTCCCCCCCTCCCAAAAAAAAGGGCACCCTAAAGAAGACACACCTATATGGCCTTGCTGCCCAAACTCCAGCAATTTTACCCTTCGTCTCTGGGTGTAACAGCAAACAACTATCTTCAACCACAACAACTTCCCATTCAGACTGCCAGAGCTAGTGGAAACGACGCAGTTTCTCGAGTACACAAACAGCACCAACTGTCGTAGGATCCCCACCCCCCTTCCCGTATCCTCCCCTTTCCTTCAAATAAGGCCTGGTCAGGGTCGTATCCTGGGGAAACCAAAAAAGAGGGGGTTCTCAAGAGACCCTGAAATGATGATTCTCCTACAAATACCCATCAACAATGGTTTCCCATGGCTTCAATTTGGTGCGAAATGGATTTCGCAACCATCCACAGTAAAGCTGCCATTGGGGCCGTTTCTGCCATTCGAAAGCTGCTGCCTCGCTGGCGCAATGCCCGTAGCACTCGCAGTAGACCTCCTCGTAGCGGCTGCAGCGGCAAGGCCTCACAGCCAAGCCCCCTTCTGAGGGCATGCTTGAGCCACCCCAGTGATTCCATTTACCTTTATTAATATACATATATATATATATATATAGTCGGCATCCAAGGGCTTGCCACCATTTAAAAACCAAATGGAAAATGGCTGGCTACTATACTGATAACTAGGTGGGATCCACTGGGATTGCTTAAACATGTTTAAACAACCTCCTCTTGGTGGTTGCTTGAAGGAACAAGCGCCTTGGCTGAGCTGTTTCAACAAGTGTGGCAACCAACCCTGCATCTGACAAACAGTTCCTATCTTCAAGATTTGCGATGGCTTAAGACTTGCCTGTCTGCAAGCCTGCCAAGCTGTGATAATACGCACATACCAAAAGTCGGGTTTGACTCCAAGTGGAGACCCCAAAAATGGATGGTCTCCCTTTGTTTCCGTAACAACACAGGTGCCTAAACTCAGAAACCAAACAAATGCCACGGTTCACAACCATGAAACCGACATGCCGTCGGTTTCCAATCTGAGCATGCAGCCCAAGAAGACCTTCGCACACCTGCACCGAACGCCGTCTACACGCCGGCCGATTTGTTTCCAGTTGTTCTGGTGTCAGAAGCCGAAGGAATCAACATGGTGAGGCCAACCTCTTGCTTGAACATGTTTAAACACCACATGCTTGGACAGCCTCCTTTTGGTCTCCCTAAAAGAGACCAGGGTCCAGGTGTTGAAACTAATCAACAACCAAAGGGTCTCCAACTCCAATTCACGTTCTCAGTTGCCTCTTGAATCGGCTTCCAAAGACATGGAAGTGCATAGGCTCGGTCTTGGAGGAGTCTACACAACACCGTAAAGGAATGCATGTTGTTAGTCGCAACTTATGGGTCGAGTCAAATGGCCTCCTAGACTTCATCCGCTTGTTGATTGTGCTATGGTGCTTGTTGAATCTCATAGGCAATGCTGATGCAATTATTGGGGCCCAAAAGAGGCAAAAACAGCAGAGAGGAAAAGAGGGAGAGAGAGTGAGAGAGAGCGAGAGAGAGAGAGGGAGAGTGTGAGAGAGGGAGAGAGTGAGAGAGGGAGACAGGGAAAAAAGAGAGAGAGAGAGAGAGAGAGAGAGAGAGAGAGAGTGAGAGAGAGCGAGAGAGAGAGAGGGAGAGAGAGGGAGAGAGTGAGAGAGGGAGACAGGGAAAAGAGAGAGCGAGAGAGAGAGCGAGAGAGAGAGAGAGAGGGAGAGAGTGAGAGAGGGAGACAGGGAAAAGAGAGAGAGAGAGAGAGAGAGAGAGAGAGAGAGAGAGAGAGAGAGAGAGAGAGAGAGAGAGAGAGAGAGAGAGAGAGAGAGAGAGAGAGAGAGAGAGAGAGAGAGAGAGAGAGAGAGAGAGAGAGAGAGAGAGAGAGAGAGAGAGAGAGAGAGAGAGAGAGGGGAGAGAGGGAGACAGGGAAAGAGAGAGCGAGAGAGAGAGCGAGAGAGGGAGAGGGAGAGAGTGAGAGAGAGAGGAAAAGAGAGAGAGAGAGAGAGAGAGAGAGAGAGAGAGAGAGAGAGAGAGAGAGAGAGAGAGAGAGCGAGAGAGAGAG